TGCTTTACAGACCTGTGAAGGTTGTAAATGTGAGGACTGGTTGCAAACTTATTTTTTCATCACCGTCTTAACTGCGAATGGATGCTAAATGAGTCAGTCACTAAATGACAGGTAGTCCCCGTTTAGCAACCATGCTTGGAACCAGCAACTCAGTCATTAAACAAAGTGGTCATTAAGTAAAAACATAACTGGGCTTATGATCTTACTTCAGCTTTCCTTTGCTTTACAGACCTGTGAAGGTTGTAAATGTGAGGACTGGTTGCAAACTTATTTTTTCATCACCGTCTTAACTGCGAATGGATGCTAAATGAGTCAGTCACTAAATGAGGACTACCTGTAATGAGACCAGCAATTTTATTAATTCAGCATTGTATTTTCTGGTAGTAACCTTTCACATGTGCAAAGCAAATTTTGATGTTCAATTGAAAGGTAAGAAATTGATACTACTTTTTACAAATCCCTAGTACAACTTTTTCAAGCTCTGAGCTCTCCAGCTGAGACATAAACTTCATTTTGTTGTTGCTGTTGTTGTTGTTCAACACAGCTGGAATCACTAGGTTGGGAAAATTTGCCAGGCATTTGATATTAAAAAGGTTTAGCCTCTAATACAGATTTTAGACTTCATTAATGGTCCCTAATTTATCTCTTGGGCTATAATTTTAGGTCTCTACAGATTGTAAAAAAAAAAAAAGAAGAAGAAATTATATGGAGAATAGGAAGCAATAGATGATACAAGATGAAAATGAAAACATCTACTTGGAACAGTTTTCTCTGGTGCATAACCTTTAGCCAGCTGCATAAAGCAGTACTTCCCAAAGCTGGATAAATTACCCCAAATTGGGTAAAAGTGGCTTTCTTTGGGTAACGACACATGAACCCATTACCCAACCACAACAGGGACATTTAAATTGACTTAAAGACTGCCATGTGTACTAAAATATATTCAAAAATCTCCCAAAGTATTCCTATTAAGACAAAAATTGATGAAATTATTAATGGTAATTTGTTGAAATGATATAAAGTTCATTCAATGATACTGTTTTTAATGCAGGTAGTCCTCAGGTTAAGACCATTTGTTCAGCAACTCTTTGAAGATAGGGTTTTGGGTACTGAAGGAAAAAGTTTGGGGAGCACTGGCATAAAGTATTTTACATATAGGATTCTTATTTGCTTTGTTAATAATTCCACAGTTCTGTTGTAGGGAGACTGCAATCTCTTTGTTTAGTTGCTCTCTGCTGGTAGTACTGAAAATATACCAAAAAAGTATGATGTAAAAGAAAAGCAATGAACAACTATAAATTGGATTGTATGAAATGTAATATGTGGTACGAGCTATGATATTCATGTGTGTCATCACATCATCACCCAAATTATATCATTTGCATGGTGACATTATGATGCACACGACATCACTTGTCCCATTTGTCCCTCTATGGAGAGCCATGCATAAAGCAACATTTTTCTCCCTCTGCTTTGCCTGCAGTGAATTAGTTTCAAAAATGCAGTGAACTTGTGTGTTACATATGAATGGGCTTCTTGAGAGACTAGAATCATACATTATGCTAAGCATGCAGTTTGTTAGTTTTGACTTAATGTAGTGTGAACCCAGCCATTGTCATTTGTAAGCAATTGCTTATTGTTTAATGTACTGATCACAGCCATCCAAATGCTCTTTATTTCATCCACTGTAGTTAAATCACGGCTTAGCACAATATGTAAACAAGGCCTTAGGATGAGTTTTGTGTAATAGTGTGATTGTGCTGAAACTTACAATGCCCCTCTTCATTCTTGAACAAATTACAAATCCAAGATTTTGATTTTGCCTGCACAAAATTTTCAAACAACATGCTAAAGCATGGTTTGCTTAGCCATGGTTAACTGAATTAACTGAAAATAGCTACATGCACAAAATACATTAAATTATAAAATACATTAAAATAGGGCCCCTGAACTACTATCAGTCTTATTTTAGTTTTAAAACATCATTCCCACCCCATGAATACTAAAAAGAGCTAGAAATTCCAGATCTCCTCCTCCATTTATATTCTTTTACCTCAGGATATAATTTTTACTATGAGAATGTGATTGGTCACTGGCCACAATAAAGTACATTTGTGTATACACAGTATATACATACACTTATATACATACCATGGGAATAAATGCACAACAGTATCCCTGTTTCCATCTCTTAAGTTTTGAAGTATATGGCATTTTTATCAATTCTAGACTATTTACAGTGTCTTAAAGGGGCATCAGAAGCAATGATTATTGCTAAGATTGTAATATATGTAACCCCTGTTGGAAAATTACTGTGAGTAATTTCCAGTTTAGTTTGCTGCATCACATTCCCAATCTCTGTATCGAGATCAGAGGAAGTACAAATGCCACTCAGTTCAGCTAGGAAAAGTATAGCTTGATAGTTTATTTATTAAGCATCAGCAAACATCAGCCCCAAAGGGAGTGTCCTTTGATTATTCCAGTTTTAATTCTTTTATGAACATAATGGTAGCAGAAGAGAGATGCGAAATAGGCTGATCCTTCCTCTATTCTGCATCATTAAAGGAACAGTTTGGTGAATTGGGATGATATATCAAAACTAAAATGACTTAAGCTTTACTGCAAATTGTTATCATCCCAGGAAAGAATGGTTTTTCATTGACAATTGGAAACAGATTTTTAAAACTATTTCAGTCATGGACATTTTCCCGTACTCCTTGGTAGACTTAACATCAGTAATGTGACTTGGACAAAGTGGAAAAACAAAAAAAACAAAACAGTGATCTAAAACATACTTAGATAGCATCACTGAAGCAATGAAGCAATGAGCATGAAACTGAGCAAACTCAGGGAGGCAGTGAAGGACAGGAAGGCC